TAAACTATCTACGGTTATCGAGGTCACTTCCCAGTAGTGGGAATTCTCTGAAGTGTAGAAGGAAATGTTCCTAATAAATGATTTTTATTGTAGAATTTTTCCTGTGAAGAGTCATTCCCATTCCCTTTGAAATCATTTAGGGAGTGTTATTCGAAGCTTAAGATTCATGTGGGTCATCTAAATGATGACGGAAATTCAGATTTAATAAACAATGACGCCCTTATGAAGCAGTTAGCTGCTGAGAAATTCGACGTTGGATTGGCTGAAGCTGTAGGCATATGCGGCTTAGGTGGGTATTGGAACACGATCCCACAAAGTGATTGAACTACTTTAAGCTAGTTTAAAAGATTCTCAAGATTCTAGGCATTTTGGAAGTTTTGAAAATCCCATCTTCAATTGCCACCTGTTCAAATGTACATATTGATATTGTATCGAAAAGCATTGGAGAGCCATTAGTCCCGAGTTATGTTCCCGGTAAGTTGAGCATTTCCACTTGCTGCAGTAATTTTTTCCATTAAGTACTTTAATTTCTCATAATAAATGGCGATCCTGTTCCTATCGTTTTAGGAGGTATGGCTACCAAAGGTGATCGCATGAAATTTCTCGATCGACTGATGAACGTTGTCGATATGGTGATGAGCCAAAAGTTTTTTCGGGACCTCTTTGTCGAAGAGCTCAAAGTCTTCAGGGCTAAATTTGGTCCACAGTTCAGAGATTACGAGGTGAGCTCGAAAGAATCCTACCAATCCTATCACGGAGAGGAATCTTTTTTTTTTGGAATAAATTCTTGGATTTGGATAGTAGGAAGGGAATTAGAGGGGCAAGGGGAAGGAATAGCTCAATTGATTCATTTTCGCTTTTTATCCGAATTTGAAGATACTTTATGAACACTTCAAAAAATTCTATGGACTACGTATTTCTCTTCAGGAAATCCTTGCAGATGCGTCTTTTGTTTTCACAAATTCAAATCCTTACCTTGACTATCCCCGTCCGATGCTTCACAAAACCATTCCGCTCGGTGGAGTGGCTGTCCGTATAGATCCCAAGAAAAATGTTCTCACGAAGGTTTGAGAATTCATGGAATGTTTCAGAATTACCGAAAATTTTCAATTATTTCCTTGCTGTTTTAGAAATGGGATAGCATTTTGAACGAAAGAAACACTACCGTATTCGTGTCGTTCGGTTCAGTGGCCAAATCAATCTACATGCCAGATGAGTATAAGTAAGCCCAATAGTACGTGTATAATTTCAGAAAAAAAACTTGAAATAGCGAAGGTTAAATCTGCAATCAAGTAAGAGGTCGGGAATGTTGAAACATGAGAATATTCTAGGAGAAATCTTTTGGAAGTGTTCGAAAGCATGCCTGAAACGACTTTCATATGGAAATACGAAGAAGAAGGTTCAAAATTGGCCGCTCATCTCAAAAATGTCCACCTCACCACTTGGGCACCTCAAAACGCTCTTCTTGGTGAGTGTCTAGAGCACGATCTGGGAGGAAAATTGATGAAAACGAGATAAGGATAATAAAAAAAATGAGGTGAGGAAGGATAGCAAATGAGGAAAAGTGTAATGGAAGGAAATTGCGTTCCAGAAGTAGCGCTTTAACTTTGCCACGTTTTCTTGCCCTTTACCATTCCGAGTTTGCCTCCGATCTTACTTTCCGACCCCTTTTTGTAAAGGGAAACGGAGTCTCTGGCGGGGGCTGAAGCCACTGAACATGCCTTTTCCCTCAGTTCCTCTCGGCTACGGTGATGAGTGCTTGTGGTAAATTCATCATATCAATGCTATGAATGTAAGTCGTGAAAATAATGATGATAACAATAATTCAGCTGATCCTCGTCTAACAGCTTTCATAACCCATGGAGGCATGGGCAGCATAACGGAGTTGGCTCACTTCGGAAAACCAGCTATCCTTGTATGTTCTCGAAAACTCAATTAATTAAGGTCTACTGAATGCCTATGCCTTCCAGCTAATTATTACTTCCTTTGTAGATGCCCATCTTTGCTGATCAAACCAGAAACGCCAATATGTTTGCCAAGCACGGTACTGGTATTGTATTGACGAAGTTTGCTTTGGAACATCCACAGAACCTCAAAGATTCTCTGAGAAAGATCTTCACTGATGTGAGGTACTATTTTGTAGCTTTCCAAATTGTTCATAAGGTCTTCCAAATTGGGGGAACGTCCGTTCCACGCGTCCGTCCTAACTAGGTCATCCCACCCACTTCGCACGCGGCTCAGCCAAATGTGATCTCGAAATGACATTAGAGTACCACAGAGTGTCAACTGAGCGAATGATTTACACTAGTCCTGTCATCTTCTTTTAGCTTACTACCGTGGACCATGCGCAATCCGTATAGAACGCTGACTTCTGCGACATTTGTCAAACATCGCGCACTGTTATGCCGCGTGCGACGTCTACGGCGAGACCTAGTTACGACGGACGCGTGGAACGAAGCGCACCCTCCAAATTGAGTAGTCCTCCGTCAGGAACAAAGATGATTTCAGTTTCTCTCGAAATGCTAAACGACTGTCGGAAATGCTTCTGAATCAGCCTATCAGTGCTAAGCAGCTCCTTATCAGACATAGTGAATTTGCTGCTGAGTGAGTTGTTCTTGCATTGTGTCAACCTAGGCAACACTAGAAATAGCAAAGGGTCTGGTAGGTAAGGTGGGGCCGTCCCCACACGTACACTTAGTTCAAAAATGGAGTACCGCCTAATTCTACACCATTAAAAGGACAGTAAGAGCAAAATTTCCAAAAAAAGTGAATGAAAAGAATCATTTAACCGGCCTTAATGGCATGCGCCATGTACCTTGCCATGCAACTAGGAGGGGTATTTGGACTTCACTTGTTAGGACG